GGGACAATTTTTTTTTGCCCTCGGATGTCCGCCGGAGCAACACCTATTCCAACACCATTCGTCTTCAGAATGAGCACCATAATTTAAGTTCAAAATCATCAATTAATTTCATTGATCGATTTCATCAGTATTGGTAAATCAAATTAAACAATACTGTCAAAATAAATATTCAAGCTTAAAAGCAATTTTCAATCCATTGGGATATTGGGATAATAGCTCGGATATCAAAACAGATGTTCATGGCGAATTCAGCCGTAAATGCTTGCAAAATAGAATCCTCAATCCCCATCGCTCCAGCAACAGACTAATCCCAACAAACGGAAATTCTTCATTGAGTAAAAGCCCATATGCGAATGGTCAATCAGCTTGTTGAATGCAATTAATCATGCACCTGATGCCCTCGAGTAATTCTTTTCCCCCCCTCAAAACAACAAAAGGAAGCATAGTCTCCGTCTGTGGCGTATACCGTCGGTCCATAATTAATGATGCTACGTAGAGGGGAGGATCGATCCAGATGATTTATTTATAACCGGCCACAAATATTTGCCCGACGAAAGGGGTTTGCATCAGGCGCGCGGGGCTTTGACAGCCTACCCTAGCTAGGGGTTGGGAAAAAGATAGAAGGAAATGACAGTGGAAGTGCGACAGAATGATCCGGGAAAGAGACTCCGGGGTGACTTATCATAATTAATAGCCTCGGGGCGCTTCGAGGTCCACGGTAACCACTGCCAGTCATCCCTCCACAAACGCCATTTTGCTGAATGGAACGTAATTCAGGTGGGTGGAAGAGGTGACAGGGTGAATAGGGCCTTAATTCGCAGAGCGAGAGAGAGTTTCCAACCCCGAAAATCTTCCCAGGAGTCTACCACATGAACATGTACTCCACTGAATGGCGCATTCAACTTGGAAGACACGGAATTACATACGGGCGCTTGACTTACACTGAGAACATTCAACTTCCGCCTGGGCACGTGTTTCTTCTTGCGGGGACACGTGTCTACCACCAGAGTTGATGGGAGATTAGATTTAATGAGTGCACCCATATGTGAAAGAAATCGAGAGCTAATGGAAGTGAGAGATTTTTTTTTGTGGGGGAACTTGGCGTGAAAAAGTTCGGGGATTTGGGCGGCTGTTGTTCTGGAAATGCTGTCAAAATACGATTTCGGTAATGCGGCGGTAGAGATGAAATATAATAATACTAGATGATTTTTGATGGCTTATTTATGGAGATTTATTGGAGACAGAGAGGGTTTTCGAGTTCTCCTAGGATGAAGACTTTGTTTTTAATAAGAATATAGAGTTATAAATAGAGAAGAAGGTTCGAGGTACGTTGAACGCGTGAGGAATTCGAAAATAAATTAATTAATTTTAATTTGTTTCTAATTAATTTTTAAATGTAATTAATTAATTTTTTCATGATCTTAAGAGTTAGGTAAAACATCCTGAATGTCAGGAATTTTGGTCCTAAATTTCAGTGATTGAATCCGTAATTTTTCTACTTTTTTAGAATTTTTTCGCTGAAATTACACTTTTTGGAAATTTTTATCAGGTAATAGTTTCACTAAAATTTGGAAAAATTTCAGTCTTTTTAATTTTAGCATTAAATTGTGCAAATTCACAATTTGGTGGAAAAATCAATGGAAACTGTAAATTTCAATTCAATTATTTCTTGGAGATTGATAGATAGCAACAAAATTGAGGTAAATATAATCCTGAATTTTCAGTGAAATTGGAACCTTCATTAATCCCCCTCCGACTTAATCGAATTCAAAATCGCTCTCCTGTAATTCGCAAATAAACTGTGCATACTCCAAAATTTTCATATCTTTCTAACAGTGCACCCAAAATAATGGTGCTTTTGAATCAAATAATCTTTATTTGAACATTTTTAATTATTTCAAGAATACTTCATTCCAAATGAATAAACTTGTTTCCTTATTTCAAGAAAAAGGATTGAATTATATCAAACAAACAATTGATTTATTTCAAATAACGAGTTTTCTTATTTTAAGAAAATCCCTGTAATTAATGGAAGAAATTTTTTTCATGTAATTAATGGAAGAAATTCGAAATTGTGTTTCAACAATACCCGTGGGCTATGTAGATTAAGGCCATATGAATCTAATCCAGGAATTGTGAAATCTGGACGACTTGAGCACTCAAAAATCATTCTGATCCAATTTTTGATAAAACTTTTCACTCCAGTACATTAATAAAGTGCTTTAATAAAAAATTTATTTGGATCAAATAAAAATTTATTAATCGTGAAAAGGCATTTATTGAATATAACCAGAACCTTGAATATTTTTTTCAAATTTAAATAAAAACTGAAATTTAAAGAGGCGAATATGTCGTCATATTTTTTTAAATCTTCTCTATTTACATAATCCCCACAAAATGGATGATCGAATGAGGCTAATGATCTCGAATAATTGAAAAAATGTTAGATGTAATTGAATGATGGATTAAACCTCCACAATTCGTCATTTTACTCACACCCATATGTGCCTTCTCTAAAGGGGTTGATTTTGATGGATCACCCGCAATTACAATTCCATCCGGGATGCGTTCACAAATTGCCTGAGATTTGTAGCCGTTTTCTCCTATTTCCCTACATAAATTTTCCCACAGTGACTATTCCTATAGAACTCCTCTATTTTTATCTTTTGGACTTCGTGCCACACCTTTGAATCTCGAGCCACGAATTATGGACGTTTAGGTTCAGGGAATAAATGTATTACTATGAATAATCGGAGAGGGAAAGTTTCATTCGAAAGTTAATTATACCGAAGCCATCAGTCAGGGACTGAAGATTAGTCGCCCGGATAGTGTTTAGCGAAAGCGTGTGAATATCCAGGTGTTCAACTACTGGGCGGTACCATTGATTTTACTATAATCGTTGAGTCGAATTACAAATTGAACAAAGGGAAGAAAAAATAAGTTTTTTTTGTGCTTTGAAAGGGAGAATTTATAAGAGCGGAGTGTTAAAGGTCACTTTATTGGAAGCTCATGATTTTTTTAAGCGCAAAATGATGATGATTTTATTTCTTTTCAATACTTGAGAAGCTGCAAAAATTTCTCTCAACACGATCATTTTCTTTTTTCAACCAGAAAAATTAATTGATGAGGCTGTGATTATAGAAGCCACATTGAAGCCACATTGAAGTCGATTTGAAGGGGTTAGAATAATGAAATTTCAAGCAGCACAAAAAGCAGAAATCCGCAAATGGCGTTAAATCTTTGATTAATTAAAATTTTTATAATTTTTTTACCTGCATTTTTTGGATTTTTATTCATTTCTATGTTTTCCATATTTTTTCCAATTTTTTTCATTTGCTGTCATTTGAGTCTCATTCAATCCCAAGTTTCCGGACATTTTTTAGAATTATTTTATTATTTAAACTTGCAGGTTTGAATTTGAATCTCGGTATTGAACCGTTAGAAAACATTTTAAAAGTCTGAAAAAACCGACAGTTTACTTTTGGAGGTAGATGAAATGATTAAAAAATTGCAAATTACGAGTTTTGAAAATTACGAATATTTTTTATAAATAATTCATACACAATCAATTGTCCACCACAAAAATCATTTATTTGGAATGGTAACAAATTTATTCATATTCAAAATTTTATTTGAAATCGATATCATGCCTAAAAACAATAAGGTTCCCGAAATTTTAAACAATTTCGATTATTTATTTATAAACAAAGATTGTTTAAAAAAAATGAGTCAGTGCACATTTTTCAAATTTTTCTCACAGAGCTTAATTGATAAATTTGATGATTGGAAATAGCTGAATCTAGTGTGAAATATGCCAAATTGTCAAAAATACTTGAATATCCTTAAGTTATAGTTCTGTTGGATTTTTTCGTTAAATGGTAATTTTTTAATGATGAAATTCTTTGATATTTCTGTAGAACTATCACTTGATAAAAACTTTCGAGAAGTGTACCGGAAATTTCAGCCCAAAATTTTTGTCCTGGCTCCAAAATTTTATTGAATTTCATAAAATGGAAAAAAAATCTGGACTTAATGACGTTTTGAAGGGTTTATAGACATTAGTTTATATCGGAACATCTAAAAAATTCTGCCACATATTTCTAATGGGTTGGAATTAATGATACAATAGCCTAAAGTGCATTTTTTTAACAGTAAAAATTAATCACCAAAAACAAATTGTCACATACATACACACAGACATCACCCTAAAAACGTAATTTTTTCAGGTTTTATAAGATTCTACACCATTTGCAATAAAAATTAGAAAATCGAAAAATCAGTCAAACACAAAGCTTCCATTCGTAAGCAAAAACGTATTTTTCAACGTAGAAGCGCTGTTTATCGAGCCAAATCACACAAATTAAATTTTCCACTTTGTGTAACATCATCGGGCGCACGCTACCTTGCCTTCACAAAACCCTTTTGCCCTTTTTTCCAGAATAAACTCTGTGAAACTGCAAAACGTGACGCGCCATCGTGAAAATTCCCCTATCAATCAATTGGTAGGTCTTCTTTCAGACATCTCTCCCACATTTTCATCCCCTTGTACGTCTTCCCTTCATTCTCAGCGACAAAAGCTCTCACATGTAAATGTTAACCACACACTCGGTTGTTGACACATCTTACGTCACTGGTCCTACTGCATCCGAATAAGTCAGATGTGGAGTGTCGTCAAGAGGACATTATGCAAACGATGAAAACTTGGGGAATAGGGTGGGTGAGAAACGAGGAAACGTTTCTCATCGTTTGGTTAAGTCGCCCACGGGCTTCAAAGTACTTCGTGTTGCTCTTAATGAGTAAATCAGAGGACTAGCTCATCTTTGCCCATCATCAACATCCTTCTCATCTCTCCTTTCAATTTATGGGGTTATTGCATGAAGAAATTGAGACACTCTGGTTTAATAAAACACTTTAGCAAGTTATCTCATTTCAAACGTTTGAAATTTATTTTGATTTTTTTTATGGTGTGATTATACTAATGTGTTTGTTTTTTCCTTCAGTTTCAGGTGAGTCTCGACCAAATCTTTGTTTAAGGTGCTCAACTAAATTGGTTTGAGGTGTTCCTGCCGTGAGTAATTACCCATAAAGAGTCGTAATCGCACTGAGAGAAACATAACTTTCTTCAAATATATCTCACTTGCGCAAGAAACAGGTTTATACCATAGAAAGAATACATTGAAGAAAGAATATTCTTTTCCCAATACAACAATTATCCCCGCGAAATTATTTAGCTTTACCAATAACGAAGTTTTTCAAGAAAATTGTAGTTTCCTTTTGAAATTATCATTTTTTCCATGGAAATTATAAGTGTTTATTGGACAAAGATATTCACTACTCAATAACATTCATGTGATGAAACCGGAGCCCCATATAATTGTCTGCAAAACGAACTTATTTATCCGAAAGACATAAATCCCGCACGGAAAAATTGATATTTTGAAAAATATATAAAAAATATCTTGAATTGGCCCAATTCATTAAAAATAAAATATAGATATGAAATATATGTTTTCTATATTTTATATATTCTTTATAAATTTGAAAAATATATAAAATTGGCCCATATTATATGAGGTATATATTCCACGCCAAATGAGTCAACCGCCGACCCTCACCCTCTTGGAAATTGATGGCGATTTTTTTTACGATTGGGGAGGTTGAAAAACTATACCTCAATTTTTTTCAGATTTTTTCGGCAGCCCAGTTCGCAGATATGATTTTTGTTTCGTTTTTCCGGTTTTTTTCAATAACTCGAATTCTATCCATCCGATTTTGATTTATTAAGCGTCAAAATTTTTCATTTTTTACTGTCTATAAGAATATTTTTAGTGAAATTTTTTTTTCGATCTCTAGATGCGCATAATAACGACTTTTCGAATAAAAAAGTAGAAAAACTTGAATTTTGCAAATTAGGTCACGGGTGATTTGTTTCATTTTTTTTTTCAGTAATTCTTATAATCAAAACAAGTATTTTGAGCCATCATACAAGTTGGGCATCGTCCTGGATCTATTTTATTTTCCATTTTTTCGTTTCGAAATTCCGTAAATTTGGTCGCAACACCTCAACATGGCGTTGATTGAGTTTGATTATAGACAGTATGAAGTGAATTTGATTGTATACCTATATATTACATATTTTTTCGATACATAGTCGAAGTCATTTTGTTGTGTTTTGACGAAATTTGCGAAATTTCCAAAAGAAAAAATTAAAAATAACATAGATCCAGGAGGATGCCAAACTTGAATGACAGCTCAAACACTTGTTTTGATTATGAGAATTACTGAAAAAAAAATTCGAATATCAACCGCGACGTAATTTGCAAAATTCAAGTTTTTCAACGTTTTTTTCGACAATTCGTTATTATGAGCATCTAGGAATCGAAAAAAAAAATCACTATAAATAGTCGTATAGGCGGTAAAAAATGTGAAAATTTTGACGCTTAATAAATCAAAATCGGACAAATAGAACTCGAGTTATTGGAAAAAACGGAAAAATGTGAAAAAAATCACTTCTCCGAACATTGCTGCCGAAAAAATCTGGAAAAATTTGAGAGATAGTTTTTCAACCTCTCCGATCGTAGAAAAAATCGCCATTAATTTCCAAGAGGGTGAGGGTCAGCGATTGACTCATTTGACGTAGAATACCTCATATATTTTTATATATTTTTTGATGGGGAATGTCTCACAAGAACAATTACAACTACAAAAATTATCATGTTTTGCTGAAACCTTTTTTTTTGTTCATAAGTAAATTGATTCAACACCCCAAAAGATCTCTTCCGAGGACCATAATTTTTCGGCAGAACTCATTTTTTTTTCAGTGTGAACTCAATTGAAAAACTTATTCCTTAGTTATGCACATTGCAAAAAGATTAAAAGTGTCAAATTCGTTTTATTTTACCCAACCGTGTCCTATATATTGGATTCTTCACAACTTTACTGTATTAGATAACAAAAAATATCTTCCCTTCATCCCAAACAACTAGAATATTGAATTGAACAAGAACCTAATGGTTAATATAAATTAAAATAAAAAGATCCAATTATCTGCTCGGCGGAACAACAGAAGAATGTTGTTTTCTTGAAACAAGACAACAATGTCTTGTTGAAAAAAAATATTTTCTCTCAGTGTACATTTGAATCTCTCTATCGAACTAACCAAACTGTTTCATTTGTAAAAAATTTTTTGCTTTTTTATCGTTATTTTACATCGCTTCGACCCGGTTAGGGTATACTGCGATGATGATCAAGACTTTAAAATGGTTAGATCGCACCATTCTACCCGGCCGGGATTTGAACTCTGAACCTTTCGCATGTGAGGCAACGAACTTACCCACTGCACCAAGCCACCGGGCTATATTTGTAGAAATATGCATTTACCTCAAAAAAAAAAAAAAGAGTGCTTTTAGGAGGAGCAAACCCCTAAATCTCTTCACATATTTCCCTAAACTCGCTCATTATCAAGATATATCCATCCTCAACCAGACGTTAAGAATAGACTCATCTGGAAAGCCCTATATCTTTCATACGAACCGAAAGAATTACGACGTTCCAAATAATGTCACCGGAAAACCATGCAAATGTCCACCCTAAACTCACCGCAACGACCCCTCCCCCTCAAGGAGATCCGCCCAAAACAAATTTTCCCCCCAAAAACGTTTTCCAATATATCACAACAATGCACAGACCAAAATATCTCGTCATACTGAATTTTCAACCTAAAAATTCCGGCTATTCACCCCATATCCGAAGAGTTCCAGAAAATAGTTTTTCCTATTCCCAAGTGAAATGATTATTCCCCTTTCAATTGAAACGTCAAAGATGTCTGCCCTCCCCATCACCACAAAAAGCTGATACTCCCGGGATTCCACTTAATACTCAATGATCATTAATCACACCGGGCAAGACTCGATATCTCCTACCGGTGTTATTCAGGACTAAAGAACCCTCCCCCGGCCCCTCTATTTCTGGAGTATAACCGACTCACGCGGGGTCTGTTCGATTATCGTTGACTTGCTCAGACCCCTGGAGCGGTACTTCCCCAAAAACGTCTAAGTACTTCCGCCAGCGATGTAGACTGCTTGTAAGCAGGCCCAGAGGGTTGATTGCGATGGTAAAATTCCCTTCGTATCGTTTTACAAGAGAGGCCGATGGTACCGTGGCGATATGACTAGCGGTATAATTCATCGGGGCGTGAAGTGGTGCGGATGATACGGAGAATGAAGCTCCCTGCCGCAAAGACGATTAATAAGACGTGCCGGAGGGGTGGGTCGAGGGGGGGATGGGGGTGCTGGGTCTTCTGGTCTTCGTCATGGGTGATATTTCAGATGGGTTGGATGGAAGACGTTGGAAAAATGACGGTTGTCAGGCGAATTAGGAAAAGGGACACTTTTTTATTAGTTGGGGTGTTGGGGGTAATGGAGGGTGAAGGTGGGGAGCGTGGTCGACGGCCAGGATGTTTTCCGGTGGAGAGCAGAACATCACGATGACTCCTGCACTGTTAAAAATTTTCGTCTGAATTTTCCGTGCCAAATTCCGGAATTTTTTATCGTGTTCAAGTCTGTTGGATTATCAAACTCAATTTCAGAGAAACGATTTAGTGAGATTTGGTGAGATAGGTTCAAACAACAAATCGACGGAGAGAGTGCCGGAGAACGAACTATAAACGTAAACAATGATTTCATAGGGAAAACGAACTGACGGTTCTTTGTCTTTAGGTGACGATGTTCTTTTGGTTTCTATGACTGGTTTTTAGTCTGCTGGAGCAGTTCGTACAGTACAGACGTTTCTTCCTCGTGCGTTTTTAGTAAAGAGCGGATGTTAGATTTGAATTCACTGCGTTTTACTTCATTTAATTTCCCATTTTCAATTAAATTCCACTGAAATTTCAGGAAATTTTGTCATTGAAAATCAAATATTCCATTGATTTTCTGTTGAAATGGTCTGGAAAGCAATAAAATACTTCATTTTTCAGTTCAATTATTTTCTAAAAATTCAGAAAAATCAGGAAAATTCAGACAAAAATTGAAAATTCATGTCGTTTTGTTTCTGGAAATTCATGTTTCACTGAAAATTCAATCAAATTGTGAAATATCCATCTCATTTCCACGGAAAGCTCATGAATTTTTGTGAATTCTACTTAAAACTTGAAATTTCATAACCATGTTTTCCCTAAATTCAATTCAGTATGACTCTCTCATGAGATTTACTATAATATCTTCCATGAAATTTCAAAAAATCTGTGACAATGTATTACTTCATTCATTTTCAACAAGAATATTATTGAAATTGATAAAAGAATTTTGAATGAAAACTTTCATTCAATTCAAATGCACTTTTTCTCTGAATATATGTAATTTATACGGTGAAATGGATTTATTGGAATGCCAGGAAAATTTCAGCGTGAAAACATAATATCCTCTTTACTCCAGAAGTTCCAGGGACATTATGGAAATGAGACTTCCATAAGAAAATGTTTTTTACTGTAATCTCAAAGACTTAAAAAGATAAATGAATCGTTCCGGTGAGCTTTCCAACATGAATTTTTCTCCATCCCCCAAAACCGCTTCCGGAAGCGTCGCGAATCATTCCTCAAACATCAAAAGACGGAAAAGAAGGGAAAAGAAAGAAAAAGACAAGGCAAATAGTAGATGAATAGCGCAAAAAAAAAAATTTCAGGGAAATTTTGCCCTCTTTTCCGAGAAATTAATGAACCCGAGTGGCCCTCAGTATCCTGAATATCACATTCTTTTGTGTCACGATGATTAGCTCATGTATTTTAATATTTATAACCCAATATTTACCTCATAAATAATATGAATATGCGAAATTTCAATGCTTCAGGAAGAAAGGGGTTAACGATCGACTTTTGAGGGGCTATTTCTCACGCTATTATTCACCCGGTGTCACGCGATCTCACGAATTTAGGTCACCCGCATACTCGAAACAGAATAAATACAAGAACAAAGAATGGAGAATAGAAATGTCAATTACAAAGTATCGAATT